CAGAGAGAAAGAATCGTGTGCAAATAAGAACATCCATCTTTTGATGTAGCAAAAAAATAGAATAAAAAACATTATCCGGCAAAACAAATACACATGCTCTTAAAAACAAGAGTATTTGTCTATTTGTTTTCGATACAAAACATCAAGAAATATTCAAATAAGCAAGAATAGTAAATTACTAATGAATTACATAAATAAGTGCAAGAATACTTTCATATAAATAGCAAAATAAAAATAGAAGAAACAGAAAGCATCTATTAAAGAGCACAATGTGTTCACATTCAAATTCCAAAGGTAGTTAACAACATGTTGCAAAAAAATATGTATCAAATCAAGTCTAAAAATTAGAGTTCACTTAGAAACACAAACAATTGACCTTAAGATGACAGATTTTGCACGTTAGTAGGAAAGTCTGACTCAAGAATAGAAAACGTGACTACGATATTTAATATCATTTGTTGATGAATAATATAAACAGAAGTAACAAATATTATTAAGATTGGAATGTTACTTTAAAGGTATATAATATATTCCACAGTTATTGATCATAATAGTATAATAAAGGAAAATGTAACATTTTAACCACTAAATAACTACTTACTTTTGAGAGAAGATGTTTAGCTAAAATTCATCTATTAAATAAGCTTACTGAGTATTACAACCAGTTTTTGTAGTAACATTTGTCATCTGAAATAATTTACCAGCTAAGTAAAGTATCGAAAGCACTATTCGTCAAATTGAAGAAAACAATGAGATAAGATATATTACATAACGGTGTACTGAATACACTTTTTAGTTAATACAGAAATAACACTTGTCATTAAAGAGAGCTTACCTGTCATAATACTGGTTAATTTGGTATTATGAAAGTCTAGTGTCAGTTTGTTGAGCTTATTGGTCATAGCACTCATTAATTTGTTATTATGAGACACGTAATAAAAAACATTTTGAAAATGTAAAATGATGTAGGGATGGCATTGCCAAAAAGAATGCAAACGAGAATATAAGGATGATACAGCTAAACATAGATCATCCCTACATGACTTTAAATATTAAAACTTAATGTGACACTGTTTCACTCTGTAACCAAGCTTTTTAAAGGACCACCAGATATTTGTGAAAAAAAAGCCAACTTCAAGGGGCAATGATAACATCGTTTACATTAGAATTATATTGTTGTCTTTTAATCGCTACTAGTTATTACGACTAAGCGATGACATCGTGTACTGCCAAGAAAAGCATAGGGTGGATTTAGGCTCAAACTGACGTTAGGGATAAAGTAGTTGTAGAGTTATTTCGACTGAAACTGGTTGGTCACTTTCTTGTTTGGTATCTTAGCGATGGTTTCTTGCCTTGTTTTTGGGCTTGTTGGGTAGAAGAATGAAAGAAATGAGTGACAATAATCTTTTAAGGTAAAAACGCTCTCTAGCTGTTGCTATTTAGCGTGCATATTTGTATTATGCCTATCGAGTATATTGGCTATCCATACATAAAAGAGTCTACCGACTCTATGATAAAATTGTCAGTTTGTAGAGTTCATTTGTCACAACAATCGTTAATTTGTATAATTTACTGCATAAGGTCATAACACTTGTCATTCTGAAATTGAGGTCATAATGAATCATAACTTCTTATTAAAAATAAATTTGTTACCTTTGAATAACTAAATTTTTTCTTTAATATTTTTCCTTATCTAGCGCTCACCTGCTCATTTGCACGTGTATAGAAGATGGCCAGCACGTAGACAGCACAGACAGGAGGCGCAAGATAACTGGTGACGCTTTGAATGTAGTGAAAAAGTTGACCACTTTGGTCATTCTGGATGATAGGAATCCACAAGATACTGACCACTACTAGCACCAACACAAATGTTCTAGATAGAGAGATGAACAGCTATTTAAATAATAAACTGTTTCAACGGTTTGTCGTATTAAATACTACAACATTTATAGAGGGAATTAAATGTCACTCACATTTCCTTATCTATGGTTCAATAAGAAGTAATTTCAAAATAGTTCTTTTTTTTTCATGACATTTTATTTATTATTGAAGTTATCTTAATATACATGGATAGAGTTGGGATACATAACACAGCTGTAGTAGAATAAGGAATTGTTTAATCTACGGAATGTTGATTTTACATTGAAAGTAGAACTTTGCATGTACGATTGCACAAAAGAGGATGAAGCATATTATCAGAGTAGATGTATTTTACATTTTAAACATGAATAGCTCTTTTATGACTTGAAGGGAATTAAACAAGTATTAAATCAGAGCAAAAACATATTTTTATTGATCTGTATTCACATTTTGAAACTTTATATCTTTAACATTTTAAGAAAATTGCGTTTGAATCTCGATATTTAGATATTTTAAGACGTTAGGCTTTAAGTATTTAAAATTATCAGAAACCTTATGCGATACATGAGACTACACGACCAAGGTTCAGGATCCAAAGATAACGGTTATAGATATCATCAGAAACCTTATGCGATACATGAGACTACACGACCAAGGTTCAGGATCCAAAGATAAGTGTTATAGATATCATCAAAGATATTCAACTGATGAAATATATTCTAATCATTTCATACCACTATTAGAACAGTATATTAAATTAGCTACATTATTTACTTGTTTAATTTTTAGTTCTGATCTACGTAATTAACTTGCTTCGATCAGAAATTATTCATGATCCCGGTCAGTCAGATATCTACCCAAGATTACAGTTTCTCGCTGGAAAAAAATCAAAATTTGAAGATCATTTTTTGCGCGGAAAAATACCATAAAAACCGAATAACACTGCCGTATGTAAAAAAAATCAGCTGTTTCGAAATAAGTTTTTCATTTTTGCGCGTCGAAAGTATGACAGAAGTTACGAGAAGGCCAATGCCAAGTGAAGAACATAAATACAAAGAGAAAGGAAGCTGCAAAAGCTGTGAAGTGTGTTTACATTGTGATCCTCCAGTTATATGTAGAGCCAGATTATCCCGCAAAGTAAACTTGGAATATTGAAAACGATACAAAAGCCAGTAAAAAGTAGAAAGAGCAAGATGTTCTTATGTAAATTTGTGCTGAATAGTGTTTCATTACAAGATTTGGACACTGAGATTGAAGACGTACTAGAAGAAAACTAGAAACATATTCATTCTCACTAATTATGTATTGAAATTAATTGGTAACATCATTGGAACTAAAAATAACTCTATAATCAAAGCATTCCGAATCTTTCCTTTGATTTTCTGGGAAGTTGGGAGGTAACCGATCGTTTTCGCTTATTTCTCCGCGACCAGACAGGATTTTTAAATTCTGAAAGTTGCTATCGTCTTTTTAGGCCATTCCACACATGTTTGTTTTGAATTTCACGCATAGCTACACGAGGGCTATCTGCGCTAGCCGTTCCTAATTTAGCAGTGTAAGACTAGAGGAAAGGCAGCTAGTCATCACCACCCACCGCCAACTCTTGGGCTACGCTTTTAACAATGGATAGTGGGATTGACCGTCACATTATAACGCCCCCCCCCCCCCACGGCTGAAAGGGCGAGCATGTTTGGTGTGACGGGGATTCGAACCCGCGACCCGCAGATTGCGAGTCGAGCGCCCTAACCACCTGGCCATGCCGGGCCGGCCCGAGATGTAAACACCGATATACTGGATCTTCCACTAGTAGGCTTTGCTGGCGTAAAATAAGCATTACGAAGTTAATAACTCCAACTATTACGGTATTGCCATTAACTGTTTGAGAAGATTTCATATTGCACAGATTGGTTAGCTTTCTATCTTATTTTACGAGCCCGTGAAAAGTTAGAATATTTTGCTGTTAATATGACGAAACCACTTTTAAACACAGACGATAAATATTTTATCAGTGAACTGATAGTTTCGTTTCATAGAAGGTACAAGACAATCCAACTAGTCTAGTTCAACAAGTGTAGTTAGTAATACTCCATATTAATAATGTGTGTAAATTCTGAAGAAAACACCAAAGTACATAATGAGTCTACTGAAGAGAATTTGGATAGTAATACGTTGTAATACTTTGTGTAATTTCAAGGTCAGTAACTTAGTTCCTGAATAACTGAATTCATTAAAATCACAAACTGTAAGATCATTTAACAGAATTCAAGTTTTGAAATGAAACATTAACAGACAATTTTGTTAAACCTTTTTTTTGCTCTTCAACATAAGTAGAGGTAGATATAACAATTTAGGTTTCTTCTAGCATTGCTTTCCCGTGAGTGTTGTCTTGAAAAATGTTTCTTTCTTCCCTATCTATAAACACGTCTTAGAGTTTCTTCTAGCATTGCTTTCCCGTGAGTGTTGTCTTGGAAAATGTTTCTTTCTTCCCTATCTATAAACATTTCTTAGAGTTTCTTCTAGCATTGCTTTCCCGTGAGTGTTGTCTTGGAAAATGTTTCTTTCTTCCCTATCTATACACCTGGAAAAAAGTTAAGCACCCCCAAATATTTTTCAGGATTGC